TTTCACTCAAGGCTGTTATCTACCACTTGAGCCACAACTCTACTGCTGGTTTATTGGTGGTTAATCAGAGGTAGCAGTCTCATAGTCTTTTTCCCCCCTGGGCTAGCCTTAAGCCACAATCTTCAGATTTCAACCTCCTGAGTAGCTAGGGTTACAGAGATGAGCCACTGGTGCCCAGCTTCTCAGTGTTCTTCTCTTTAGGCAGAAGCTAAATGGGAGGGAGTGAAAGCAAGGAGACTGAAGGTACAACCCACCTCACTCGTGCTCTTCTTTCCTGTCTCCACTGGGAGTTAGACAAAGAGCTTTCCAACAGGGTATATGCTGGTGGTGCTTCCTCACATCTGGTGCTCACAGCGGTCTGAAGCAGAGCTGAACATGGAGGCCCTGAGCTGAGGCCTGCTCTTCCTGAGAGATACATCCTTGCTTTCCTCGGCACACCAAGCAAGTTCAGGTGCCATAATTTACTCTCCTGCTCATCAATCATTTTGTTATCCAAATGTGAACAAGTCAGTTACATATCCTTTAAGAAAGTGGTTTTGCACAAAACTAAGAAAGTTTAACGAAGATGTTTAGCCCCAGGAAATGGGGAAGGAAGAAGGGAAAAAGAATAATAGAGGGTAGATAAATACAAAATTGAAAGAGGATGAATACAGTCAAAATAGATTGTTTACAACTATGAAAATAGAATAAGGAAACTTGGAGTGAAAGGAGAGTGATAGAGGGAGAGAGATTGATTGGAGTATATTGTTAATGTGTGGATATATAACAATATAATCCTCCTTTTTGTAACTAGTATAATCTTTTTTTTTTTTTTTTGGTGGGTCATTGGGCTTGAACTCTGGGCTTGGGCGCAGACCCAGCGCTCTTCAGCTCAAGGCGAGCACTCTACTACTTGAGCCACAGCACCACTTCCGGTTTTCTAGTGGTTTATCGGAGATAAGAGTCTCACGGACTTTCCTGCCTGGGCTGGCTTTGAACCGTGATCCTTGGATCTCAGCCTCCTGAGTAACCAGGATTACAGGCAGGAACCAAGTGTTTGCATCTGACACGTGCACCCCAAACAAGGCAGTCAATCTCACTCTACTGAGGCAGGGAGTCTTTATTCTTCTTGATCTGGATGACAGAATACACACCACAGACCTTCATGTGAGTCCTCTTCCCTCCTCTGCCACAGGATTGCTCCTTTGTGATTCTCACATTTCCCTTGCACCAGTGCACCAAGGTCTCAGGCAGGTTGGCTTTAGTGTTTATCTACAGCATTGTTTTCTCAAATTTTTTGGTCTCAAGACTCCTGGAGCCAGTGGCTCATGCCTGTAATCCTAGCTATTCAGGAGACTGAGATCTGAGGATCACAGTTCAGAGCCAGCCTGGGCAGGAAAGTCCGCAAAACTCTTATCTCTTAACCAGAAAACCAGAAGTGGCACTGTGGCTCAAGTGGTAGAGCGCTAGCCTTGAGCTGAAGAGCTGAGGGACAGCACCCAGGCCCAGAGTTCAGGCCCCACGACCGGACCCCCCCCCAAAAAAGCCAGAAGTGGCCTTGTGGCTCAAGTGGTAGAGCGCTAGCTTTGAGTTGAAGAGCTGGGGGACAGCACCCAGGCCCAAAGTTCAAGCCCCATGACTGACAAAAAAAAAAAAAGACTCCTGGAGATGTGAAAGAGCTTTTGTGACTGTGGGTTCTGTTATGGATATTTGTTGTATTATCGATCAAACTTAAGAATTTTTTAAATATTTAAAAATAAAATTATAAAATAACTTTCACACAAATAACACATTTTAAATCAAATACACACACACACACACACACACACACACACACACACATATAATCCAGGCACCAGTGGCTCACACCTGTAATCCTAGCTACTCAGGAGGCTGAGATATGAGGATCACAGTTCAAAGCCTGTGAGACTCTTATCTCCAATAAACCACTAGAAAACCGGAAGTACGGCTGTGGCTCAAGTGGTAGAGTGCTTGCTTTGAGCTGAAGAGCACAAGGGACAGTGCCCAGGCCCAGAGTTCAAGCCCCATGACCAATAAAATAAATAAATAAAAACTTAAAAAATTATATATATATATATATTTGCTTACTTATGCAGTCTGTTGAGACACAGTGTTTTGCTTAAAGCATGTGAAGAAAATTAAGCATACATGTATAAAAGCCTTTTTAGAAAATTTGTATATTTTCTTTTGATATTATACCAAAACTCAACACAATTTGTGAAAGTTATTCTCAATATAAAGTCTGAAATCATATTAAAAGCATGACATAAGAATGACAGAAGGAAAAAAAAAAAGAATGACAGAAGGGGCTAGGAAGGTGGCTCAGTGATAGAGCGCTTGCCTTGCATGCAGGAGGCCCTGAGTTCGATTCCTCAGCACCCAAAAAAGAAAAAAGCCGGAAGTGGCACTGTAGCTCAAGTGGTAGAGCACTAGCCTTGAGCTGAAGAGCTGAGGGACAGTGCCCAGGCCCAGAGTTCAAGTCCCATGACCGGACCCCCCCCCCAAAAAAAAAATGACAGAAGACAGGCTGGTAAGGTGGCTCAGTGGTAGAGCACTTGCCTTGCATACATGAGGTCCTGGGTTCAATTCCTCAGCACCACATAAGCAAAAAGAAAAAAGCCAGAAGTGGCACTGTGGCTCAAGGGGTAGAGCATTAGCCTTGAGCTGAAGAGCTGAGGGACAGTGCCCAAGCCCAGAGTTCAGGCCCCACGACCGGACCCAAAAAAACCCAAATATTCTATTTAGATCATTCACAATTTGAAATAGCATATATATATATATTTTTTTTTCCTTGTTGGTCATGGGGCTTGAACTCTGGGCCTGGGCACTACCTGTTCTACCACTTGAACCACAGCACCACTTCTAATTTTCTGATAGTTAATTGGAGGTTAGAGTCTCACAGACTTTCCTGCACAGGCTGGCTTTGAATTGTGATCCTCAGATCTCAGCCTCCTGAGTAGCTAGGGTTAGAAGTGTGAGCCACGGGCACCCGGCTAAATATATTTTCTTAAAAAACCAAAAGCAAAAAAACCACAAAACTCACCAATGCTAAGCATCAGAGCCTCATGCCTATAATCCTAGCTACTCAGAAGGCTGAGATCTAAGGATCACAGTTCTAAGCTAGCCTGGGTAGAAAGTTTGTGAGACTCTCATCTCAAGTTACCACCAACAAGCTGGAAGTGGAGGTGTGGCTCAACTGGTAGAGCTGTAGCTTTGACTGGAAAAAGCTAAGGAATAACATTCATGTCCTGAGTTCAAGCCTCAATACCAGGACCATATGTGTGTGTGTGTGTGTGTGTGTGTGTGTGTGTGTGTGTACATACATACAAACATACATATACATATATGGTGCAGTGGTGCTTTATTTACTTGAGGAACTCTTCTTAAAATGGTTGCTGGGGACTTTTTGAAATTAAGGAGAGGTTTCAGAGACACTAAAGCCTGAACCCCCCTACCCACTGGCACACCACCAATGGGGTGCCGCACCCTGGAAAGATTCCTTGGCCACACCTGGTTGTTACATGTTCTAGGGTTTCAGCCCCTTTCTCACCTCTCAAGTCAAATACACAGGAACCTTAAGAGCCTGGAAAGCAAGTCATTCACCCCTTTCCACAGACAGGAAAACCAAAGCCAGGAGAGTGAATGGCAGCAAACTAGCTGCCAGAATGTCCCAGTGAGGAGGTGGAGGACAAGCCAACTGCAGCTAAAAGAATCTCAGGACAGAATGAGAAAAGGTGGAGGGAACAGAGGCAAAGGGCATCCACTGGCTGGGACTGGTGGACTTTGGCCACATGGCAATAAGGAAAAGAGGTGCCTACTGATCTCCAGATCCTGCGACATGCACACTCAGAAGTTAGGAGCTAACAGGGCCCGGATGGCTCATGCCTGTAATCCTAGCTATTCAGGTGGCTGTGATCTGAGAATCACTCTTCAAAGCTAGCCCGGGCAGAAAAGTCCATGAGACTCTTATCTACAATTAATCATGAAAAGGCAAAAGCGGAGGTGCAGCTCAAGTGGCAGAGCACTAGCCTTGAGCACAAAATCTCACAGACAGTGTCCAGGCTCTGAGTTCAAGCTTCAGCATTGGCATTAAGAAAAAAAAAAAAGTCGGGAACTGCCTTCACTGTCAGACAGACCTGAATTCAAGTCTCAGCTCTATGCTGTGTAATCTTGGAAAAGTCCTTTACCTTTCTAAGGACCTTAATTCTCTCATCTGTAAAATGGTGTGATTATCTTTAACTATTGGAATTGTCCCACAATTAAAAAGAGCATCACCATCTATGCATCTGAAAGCAAACATCTGAAAGGTTTGCTCCCCATTGGATTCCAGAAAGCTCCAGCCAGGTTCAGTTGCTCAGTGTCAAGGCTACTGCCCACGATGACTGACAGAGATGCCACCACGTGCACTCACACACCTGAGATTTGACCTCAGACCTTATAGTGGGAGATAGCTTTGTATCCAGAAGCTGTTACAGCGGGCTTTCTTCCTTTCTTTTTTCCCTTCCTTCCTTCCTTCTTTCTTTCCTCCTTCCTTCCTTTGTGTTCATATTCTCTCTCTCTCTCTCTCCTCTATTTTAATGGTGGTACTGGAGCTTGAACTCAATAGCCTAGGCTCTACCTACCTCTTATTTATTTTTGCACTCACAGCTAATGCTCTACCACTTGAGCCACATCTCTACTTCCAGCTTTTTTGCTAGTTTATTAGAAATGAAAACCTCACAGACATTCCAGCCCAGATCCCTCAGATCTCAGCCTTCTGACTGGCTAGGATTAACAGGCATGAGCCACTGGTACAGGTCTAAGAGACTCTTTCTTTTTAATAAATCATGAATAAATGTTAACTGTAAGCCTCCAAAAATAGAGTGCAACATCTGTCCCTTACCTTCCTCCAGGCCCCCCACATCTTGGTTCTCACTGATGCCACTGGCTTCTGCTAGAAACCATGCCCTGGGCCCGGCCCTAAACAGCAGCAAATTTCTTTGCAGTCTGCTGTGTAGGAAATGGAGCTGCTGGACCCTAATTACAGATGCGTGGCCATTTGCAAGGTGGAAAAAGTACATCCAGGTGAATACTAGAACTTCTCTGTGGATACTGCTATTTGAATGCCAGTCAGGTGTTAGCAGTATGGTGAATACATTCTTCCATCTTCCCTTCTCTTGACAAGTCAGTATTTCCATCCTTGACCACTGCACATTGTCCCCTAGAAAGCAGATGGCAAAGAAGTCCAGGTGCTGAGGGTCTACCAGATGGTCTGCCTAACTGTGCTTTGAGGTAAACTGCTGACACCTAGGGCTTCCCAGAATCAAGGGCTCCACACCCTCTCTTGGTGCCATTTCCAAAGCCCCAGAAGTTACACCTGCCACTAAGATCAGTGAGGAGCTGGATGCAGACTGGGAACACAGGTCACCTAGGAAGAGGGCAGTAAGTGGGCCCCACAGGCCTGCTCCAAAGATCTAGGAAGTCCAAGGAGATGGTCTCAACATGGCCAGGATGGGGAGCTTGGGCACTGACCTGGGTGGGGAATCTAGGCTCCCATTAACTCACTGACTCCATGGAAGCAATCCTGGTGAGAGACCAGCCCTGACAACCCAAAGGACAATAAGGAGATCTCTACTGCAGCAGGGACACTGCAGATGAAGCAGGGGACTGTTTGGCCCACCCTGGCACTTTATGTAATCCACAGCCAAGATTCAGTAACTGAAAACCAGGACTGGTTGTGCTCTTACTGTGAGTCCTGCTGGGCCTACACGTGGTCCACAAATAGACGTGCTAGGGAGTTTCTAAGGCGTGCTTTCTTTCTTTCTTGTTTGTTTGCTTGCTTGCTTCTTTTTGCCAGTCCTGGGGCTTGAACTCCTGGCCTGGGTGCTACCCCTGAGTTTTGTTTGTTTGTTTGTTTTTAACTCAAAGTTGGTGCTCTAAGACTTGAGCCACACAGCTCCACTTTCAGCTTTTTGGTGGTTAATTGGAGATAAGCCTCACAGAGATTTTGCTGCACACACTGGCTTGAAATCATGAATGTCAGATCTCAACGTCCTGAGTTGCTCGAATGACAGGCTGGGGTGCCAGGCTACGACATTTCTTTCTCTTATTTTAACATCTCATTTGATTTCACCGTGGCCTTGGCAGATAGGGATTATTCTTGGTTTTCCAAGACCTTACTCACCTCGGAAGGCTAGACTCAGACCCGGGCTCACTCCGCCCTCCCTCCCCCACCTCCACTCCCCGCAGTAAAATGAAGGCCCAGAGAGGGAAAGTCATTAGCCTGAGGTCTCACCGCAGGTCAAATCAGACCTGGTCCCCAGGCAATGCTCTTACTCCACCCTGGGCCACTCTATTCCCAGCCTTCACCCTGGGGGAGTATGCTGTCTGCTGCCCACCTGGTCCCTGCGGCCATGCTCACGGCCTAGGACGATCGCGGGGGTCGGGGGGGGGGCGCCTCTCTGGGCCTCAGTTTCCTCCCAGCGGACAGGCATCCCCGCGGCGGCGCGGGGCG